ATCAGGTATTTCCTTTGCTGGATTTGATGACTGGTCTGTTATATTTTTACTATCGGAAGCTTCTTCAAGAATAGGAGAACTCGATGCATTCGACTTTGAAAATCTCTGTTTCGACAATCTTCTCGCTCGACCACGACCAGTTTTAGACCGCCTGTGTACTCGACAACCAGTAGAAAGTCTTGGAACTTTTGGTGCCGTTACATAACTAAAAGTTTTGAAATAGCATATGTTTTAAGATTTACTGTTTTAAAAAAAATTGGAAATCTGACAATTAGACAACAACAGTAATACTATATATAACTACGCAAACCAAGCCAGATAATGAAATAATAAAACACCAGTAGATACAATCATTAAGACTTAAAATATCACGGCTATGTGTAACTCCATTAAATGAATGATCGCACCAAAGTAGAATACAATCAACAACCAGAAATCAGTGCAAGATAACTACACATTTATATTTAAGAGAAGAGACCGACTAATGTCTAACGATATCTACGACATAATTAACAATAAGTCGAGACATTCATTTAGAGATAATAATACCTTTCGCTTCATGGAACAAGAACACAACAAAATAATTAACTGAATTCCCTAGTACCACTTGAGTTATCACCGCTATTCTGAAGTGTGTATACACTTTTGGTTTCTTTATCAAATTGGTGTTACCAACCTATTGGTATAATATATACAAATGTGGTTCAATAAAAAAAGAATCCATTTAGGTGGTTTCAATATATTCAACTTTCAATCAGTAGGCTTGAGTTTTGAATCCCTTCTCCACCTATTTTCGAATGGGTGCAACAAGCCCACATGTAGTTCATGGCCTGGATAATATATAATAAAAAGAAATCCTTGTTATCATGCAAATGTTCAAAATTTTCACTGCTCACTTAATAATTCTCATCTGAAAACAAACAGAATTCTATTAATTACAAAACACTGTAGCTGGTGATGAATACTACATCGTTTACGAATACGTCCTAGCTATTAAGGCTCCCAAAATATACAAAACTTGATTAACTGCCTGCTAGTACAACATGCACCAATTAACAAAAAGAATACAGAGATAACTAATATAAAGAATGAACGCGTTACAAGCATTTGTACTTTAGGATATTTTTATACTAATTTCAAATAGTTTCGTCACCAATCGGATAAGGAATAAAGGATAAACTAACTGCTTTCTCTAAACACAGTCATCCGTACTTCACTTTTGACTTTTAAAATAATAAGAAGAGACAGTCACACCGTCACGTTCGAGTTCGGAGAGAAAAAACAACAAGTTAATTACAAGAGATTAACTTATGTTGCATGTTAAAGGCAGCTTAAATGAAAATATATTTAAGCGACTAGACTCACGCAAGTGAGGATGCTTGTCGTTTATTCCTTGAATTTTCTCCAATAGTGTTTTTAGAGAATAAAGAGGCACGTGATGAACTAGACACCCGTCTGATCCCTGACCAAGATGGAGTTGCACTAGGATCAAATCGGCTAGGAGTAAAGACAATACGCTTTGGCTGCTGTGTTGATGGAGTTGCCTGGAAAAAAAATGTTAAGAAGGCAGTAAGACATGACGCCGATCGGAATAAGTAGTCAATCTCGATTTTTGCAATAATTTTCTAAAATGTAACTATCATCAGAATACTACTACTGTAGAGGTGTGATACAGACAATGTGTTTCAACGCAGTATTATTCTCACATATTCCTACAGTTCCATACTGAATTAGCAACAGAATGCTATATGTACTTGAACATTCTATTTCATGTCGTTTAATGTAAACCAAAACCACAAGCTCAGTGATTGGTTAAAGAATATAAAACTGTATATATGTATATAATAAGCAGTTTGATCAATGAAAAATATACCTTGGTATCCGTATCTTGCCTTCTGCCGTTACACTACTACTAACACCGCCTGGAAAAGTAGTATGACAATAGGTCATATGATGAGTGGACTAAATTAACAAGGTCGATTACTTTAGAACGCGAATTACTTTTGTGCACATAGGATTTTCCTCAAAGATACAGATATTCCAAATTCTCCATCAAATTTTACCTTTACAAACAACAGCACACAAATATTGCCTAAAAAATGACCCAGATACATAACTATCACTAACCACTGATGTCAATCATTAAGATTATGACTACTACATCGATAGTTTTCATCATAACTATTTGAATCTGATGATTAACATAATTCATTGAGGTGAATAACTTTCAGCACAGTATAACTATTCATAAAATGTTATAATAAAATACCCATGACTATTTCTTAATAAAATTTAAAGATACTTCAGCTTTAGAATTATGTTGAACAAACTCTAAAGAATACAGGTAGAACTGTTATAGAGTGTGGAAACGAAACTTTACGCAAAAATAAAGGTCCAACGACTACTGAGTGACACCTTCTAGCCTTGATTAAACCGAATACTGTCTGGTGAAGAAAGAGGTAATAGACATGCTATAACAATCACAATTATGATAACCATTTAACGGAAATTCGGAGGACGCCAATATTCATTCACACAATACAGGCCTGATATTTAACCTTATTTAATCAAGTTTAAAAAGGGAACTGCAGAAAATATACAAGCACCAAGTTTTTGACCTCAAATACGCTTCAACTTTAAGTTGTATATATCTCTTCATATAAATTATTACACGCAAATAACTTTGAATTTAACCTCTAAAAACTAAAAGAATGACATTCACAAAAAGAAGTCTTTCTTAAATTTCGAATTTATCACCAAACTACACCATAGATAATAAGTAGGTGACTTACCTGTAAGGCTGCTGCCCACTGTTCATCACTAGCGCCACGCTGTTTCGCAGGTGACTGTGGTAATTCATATGCACCTTTAGTGTCTTCTGGCGTTGAGTCATAAGTAAGTTCTCTTTTCGAAATAGACGACAGGAAATTACTTGTAGAACAACTTGCATAGCTATCTGGAATCGGTGACTGAAGCATTTCAGACGGTCTCCATGGTGGACAATGTTCCACTAAGGATTTAGTTAAAGGATCAACTGATACACATGTTAAACGATAAGTTGATCTACTAGCCCATTCCGGAAGTGTACGAGCAACGCTTGTAATAACTGAATTGGTTGAACCAGAAACACAATGGGTGTTAGCAGAGACTGTACAAGGCAACGAAAGTGACGAAAAGCCATCGGAACCTGGTTCTTTAACATTTTGGTCTACCTGTGGAAAAGTTTCACTTCCTATAAACTACTCTAGAAGGGTAAGTATGCAATATTTACCGAAATCCTCACGGAAATTAAGCGGTAAATGCCGAGGAATGAAAAGTGGCCGCTCTTCCAACTCGGGGTGATTTTCATCTGGAATATTCAAGCACAATTTCCCATACACAGGTCCACAGGCCATAGGAGGTGCTGGTGTGAAGAACTGGCTGTTTTCTTTTACAAAATTGGCAAGGCCTTGTGGTGTTTGGCCCATTAAACGCAAAGCCAACAACCCATCCGCTACCTGTGCACCACCATCTGGGAAATTATCAACTGACAATATCAATACCTGAGTCAATCAGTGTATGTACATTTTTAACCAACGCATGGAAATATGCGTCTGTAATGCTGATTAGCAGCTCGAGTGAGGCTTCGGTAATTTGTTCGAAGCCAACTTGACCACATAGCTGAGCAATTACTTGAATCATCGCACTTCTGAAGTCACTTGACATTGCAGAAGAAAAACTGAAATGAAAACCAAAGAAAAGTAATGCAGTTTAAGTAAAAACAAATGTAATTTTTAATAGTTTACGTAGTGATGCCTTCCCTATCTGGGATTTTTACTTATAGTATACTTATACAACCGCCTGACTTCTATTTGAAAAGAGGAACAAAGTATAGAATGTGACAATATAAAACAGTGACTTCACTACTGAAAAGTATGATACAGTATGAAAAGTCAAAAAAGTTGTAAGCTACAAGAAGATTAACTCTTCTTAAGTAGATGAAAGATAAATGCGGAGTCCACCAACATCTAGTTAAACTATAACAGAAAGATTGGTAACTCCAGGAAATATTCAATAAGACCCTTGGAATACTACCGAAAATAGCCCTGATTTTTCAGGCTCCCACCCTGTTTGACTACAACAAGGCAAATATACACTTTTTAATCGGATTGCATATGATAATTTTGAATTTGTAGGTGCGGTATATCACTGTCCTTTGGGATCACTTGTTAAGAAAGGCTGCTTCGACAAAAACACCTCATGTTAAGAGGACCATATCACCATCTACCATAACTACTCTCATCAAGCAATGAAACTAGACAGGGTTCGCCAATCTTACCATTTTAGCTTAACTTCGCCACCGATGACACGATGAAGACAATTCTAGAGGTTGTGGTAGTGATGCAATATATCTGCCACTTGGTGAAAGACTGACCCTGAGTATGTAAGGGACATACTCTCACGGTACACGAGCCGCACTCAGTTAGCAATCAGCGTCAGTAAACACGATATGAGCTTTTTACCGTTCAAGTGCACACATCCACACATGTTTATCATTAGAAGTGATCAAAAAATCTTGCATATCTAGGGTACCCACATTTACGCTGACAGAGGCACGATACACGAAATTTTCAATCGCAAACTAAAAGCCAGAGCGGTATACGCCTACCTCGGACGTTTCTGGCCCCTTCACAATTTTAATCTGCCACATAATTGCATGGACTAATGCACGATAGAGTCCATCCTGGTGTTCTAGTAGGAATGGCAATTTCCACTAAATTAAATTTTAAATTTTTAAATTTTTTTTTTTTAAATCCTTTCCATTGATGATGCACAGAAGCCTAATTTGTCTCCGATGGTGACACAACCTTTCCAATCTCAAAGAGAAAGCCAAAGCAGCATACGCCAATTAGGGTAATCTCTAACCATATCAGGAAGTTAAATTTACACCTCTTCAGTGCTTGCAGTCTTGCTCCGTGCTTCCGTAACATCGCCTACTACAGTTGAGAATATGCGTCAACACCACGACAGTAGATGCATCTGATGTGACTATCAGATTGTTTCTGTGAATGACCTTGAAGATTAATTTTCCTAAATAGCCAAGTTATCACAAAGTATATAGGGCTCGAGAAAATTAAATCGGGGAAAAAAGGTTTCACACCTCAGTGACAGTGCACTTCTCGAAGCTCCGCTCTTTGAGAGCTTCTAAAACACGGGTATACTTCGACAAAACAGGAAGAAAAAAGTGTAAATCTTGTTCTAGCGTTAATGGAAACGACAAGCACACTTATCGTCATCCGATATTTGCCATATTTCTTGATGTGAAGTTAATCTACCTCCTCGACCGAGAGGTACATCGGCAATGTCTGACTGTGAAAGAAGTGTGAAAAGTATCTTAGGTTGCAGAATATTCACATCACATCGTGGGAAAATTAAAAAGACGGTGACAGCGAAGAAAAAATGCTTGTTGACGAAGTCCCCAACCAGACTGTACATTCCTAAATATTTAGCAAAGTGATGAAAAAGTTCGGAAGCTATGTATTCAAAAGAAGAGTGTCCAACCTACGCCTTCACCATGGCAATCATAAACAGACAGTTTCATCAATAACTATTAAACGATCATGTATTTCATCCGAAAGCCCTATTAATTGTTATTTTTACGTTTAAGTCCGTATTTGTAATCTTATTCGCCATAATTCAACCCTCGATCAGAAATAATTCTGAAAATTTCCCACCACATTTCATATATCCACCAAAGAAAAATTTCTTTTAATTTATACGCCATCTCTGGCTAAGTAGACGTGATATCCGGCTGTCTGTAGGTCAAAGGGCGTGTGTACTGCTCAGAAGTCCACTTCGTCCTCCTTCATGGCTGTGAGACGTTGTCACTGAAAGTCGGAGAAATGAAAAAGGCCAGCTAGTTGTCTTTGATCATAGGTGTCTGCGTTTTATCTCCCGTGTTAGGTGGTACAATAGGGTGAGCAATACTGAGGTTAGGCATCTGTTGAGTGCTAGGTAAGCAGGGGAAATCAATAGACGGTTTTGAAGCAGCTGCATCGACTGAGATGGTTAGGATATGTGTTGCGAATGCACGCCTAGTCATCGCCTTCCTAGACAACGGGCAATGTTAGCTGATGGGATGGATGGATGGATCAGGTTGGAGAAGAACTAGCCAGTGGCGGTTGTGGTCAAACGAAAACGGGGCTTCATCAGTCAATCAAATCCATAACAGTTAGTTCGAGCTAGCCAAGTAGGGAGGTGTAGACTTCTTGGTTGGGGTCCTTGGGGTGGTAAAAACTGATGGCTGGAGACAATTGGTGATATAGTTATCTCAAAATCGTCCTCAGTGGGTGGCACAGATGCATTCACTCTTTGTGATTTGTCATATCCAATAGAAATTTACTGTTCTTCCATATTTCTATTCTTTTTCCCTCACTCACACTTATGTTTGTTATCTCTCTTTTGAGTCTTTCTTTACTCTCTTCTCTTGCTTTGTGTGCTACATGTAGTGTGGCGACTCGAACTGCAGCACATCTGTGCAAAGTTCCATGTTGAAACCAGTCAGTCAGTCACGTCCATCAACAAACCAAAATGAACTCTAATGCAACACTTACCTACAGGCTATTGACGGTTAAGACTGTTGCTCCTTCTGCAACACCTGCCTAAACTCAGATCACACTTTGGTCCATGTTTGCCTACGACTGAATGGGCTTAAAAAACTATTTAGAGAGAAAATAACTAAGAGCTTTTTTTGATACTGATATTAAGACTCGTCCTGAGTCCAGTCAGCTGTAGAAGCAGTGGTAAGAGCTGCTAATAACCTAAGTAGGAAAGTTACTAAGTGCCAGTGGATTTTTGCTGCTTTATGTGAACTGAACGATGCAGCGGAACTGACCTCTAAACACAAGGTGCTCAAATGCACGTTGACTAAGAGTCCTAGTAACAGTCGTGATCAGTGATGAGCGACAAAAGCCGAAGGTAAAAAGCGTCTTCGGCAGGTAACAACAGTCATTCATCACTTACCATAGTGAGGTGTAATGGAAGCGGAGCAAAGACTTGATATTATGACTCTAGAAGTAAATAAGGATGATGTTGATGAACTGTTGTTTAGGTTAGCCAGGATTTTAGGTAGTTTGTGCAAATCTTGAATGCTCATGTTAGGTTGGTGCAAATCATTGTTTATCTCAGTTTATTAGAAGGGAAAAAAGTCTTCCAGTGATAAGCATTACCAAGAGATTAACTCGACTAAAATATTATCTACATTTCTGAGTTCCATAATCATGCGTTAACTAGGAGGCGCACGTGACAGACAACCGTCAAATTTAGGCACGCTTCAGGCCCAGACAGGGGCGTGTTCATCACATCTTCACCATTCTGACCGATTGGTTTCAACATGGAACTTTGCACAGATGTGCTGCAGTTCGAGTCGCCACACTACATGTAGCACACAAAGCAAGAGAAGAGAGTAAAGAAAGACTCAAAAGAGAGATAACAAACATAAGTGTGAGTGAGGGAAAAAGAATAGAAATATGGAAGAACAGTAAATTTCTATTGGATATGACAAATCACAAAGAGTGAATGCATCTGTGCCACCCAGCTGTATGTTGTGCCAGGAGGAGTCTTGTTGTCAACCCCAAATACTCGTTTCCTTATTCCTTTCTTAATTAAGGACTGCATCTTAATTTAATCGGGGGGTGTAGCTGTTTTACTGCCAACAGTTTTTTTGTCCATATAATTGTAAGCATAAACGTGCGCGAACCAGAGCGCAATTGGAGTCTGCGCACATGTTCTAAAAGGAGCGGCATTATTCTATTGCCCTTAGCCAACGATACCATATCTTTATGTGGTCTATTTGAGTTCAACGTTGATTTGGTGATAGAGGTCGTCAGGTTGCACAATGTCTCCATGTTTGGGATTTGTGGTGACCACAAATAGGTGAATCGGACTTTTTGCAACTGTATCCATCACCACAATTGATGAGGCACATAGTTTTATAAGCACAGACCTTTAAACTAGTGTAGCTTGATTAAAACCGCAACCGCACAGGACCTTAAATATTGTGAACGGTTTACAACCCATTGCACGAAAATTACAATACAGAGGGGGTGAAAATCCCTGTTTTTTCTAACTCACTTTCATAACAAACTCTTAATAATCCTTAAAAACATTAACAGATAAACTGAAATGCGACGGACCACAACACCACATCACCTACAAAATGAACCAAACATAATTGGGCGAGATTCAACTAAGGGCATGAATGTTTATTTGGGTGCATGAAGTGTTTAACCACAACAGCCACCCCAGAACATCACTTCCGACAACCAATGGGAGTTACACATGGCATCACACAATCAAACAATGCCAGTTGTTCTGGCTTTGCTTACGGAGTTTCGGGGAGGTCCAGTTTTGCTAAGTGTATGTAATGAATTAACCAGAGTTATTAAAGCGTATATATGTGACGAATCTCAAGAGAATAACTGGTTTTTTGGAGGATTGCGATTTTAAGATAGATTCAAAGACGAAATTAGATATATAAATGGATCTCGAAACACTACGAAAGTCGGCTATGTACCGGAGTGTCCACTGTAACCTAATTTTGCCTTAAACACACATTAGTGAAACTTAAAATATACTTATGAGGTACAATGGGCATCTTTGTAACTAAGTTTTTAAATCAAAATGTAATGCCAACAACCGTAGGCATGAGCACAGATTGCCATAATGCCCCCATACAAAAAAAGCTACTCATATTTTCTCACCAATAACAATAGTTTTTAGTTAGGGTGAAAACTTGAAGTATTATGGAAAAATAGAACAAATATATCCTTAGGTTCCTAATAGTATTAATAGGTAATACATATTCATATTACAAAACTACGTCTATACACATAAAACGAAATTCTAAATATTCTTACATTCATAGTGTTAAATTACTTCCATTAAGACAAGTCGCCATCGAGTCAGTAACAGCAGAGGAACAGAGCATTTACGTCCCAGCCACAGTTACCAACTTCGAACGAGGCGCTGCTTCGGTCAATATACACATTAACAAAAGCCGATAATTCAAGCTTGAATTTGATTAGTGTTTACACAAAAAATTGCGATGACCCATGAATTTTGACTCTTCACCAGCCTATTGCATCTGGCGGAATTCTCCTATAGTTCGAACAAGTTTCTATTTCCTATAAACTTCACAGAATTGTCATATTTATTGATTACCAGTGATGCTTGATATACCTCAAGAGTTCAACTTTTTGAAAGGAAAGCTTCGAATCGGTCCGATTCGTATCTTACGACCATCAAAACCAAAAATGTGTAGTGGAATGGAACTAAGATACTATGACAACAAATCGTAGCATGATAAAGATTCGCGTAATTAAGTAGCCTTGATATGGCTGTGTAGTAATGAAGTGCGTACCTCGTGAAGCACTGGGTTTCCAATCCTTGTGATACATGCCAAGATGTGGATAAGTCTTCCAGGAGATTTTACGTCGCATGACTTTACAGTGGACAGGGTTATCTTCAAGCCATTAGAGTTCTCTAATATGGATTTACGCAGTTTTATTTTAGGTTGCATAGATGAAAGTGTTCTCGGTATTAGACAATCAGACACCCCTTCTATGACTGACCAGGTCCTCTTCCTACACTGTGAAACTTTTACTTGATCTTAAATAAAACAGTTAACTAGTTTCATATAAATAACAATATCCCTTGATAGTCACCAACGCTGGACACTAACATAAACGTTAAATAGTAACCTCACCTGGTTCACCAGCTCGCTAGTTTTCTAGCCGTCCTAAATCCCAGAAATGCGAGAAGGTTGAGTGTCGGGCTAGTAACCTTACCTTGTAAAGTGCAAGAGATATATAGAAAAAAAGAATTATTTTTCTCTGTAACAGGAGCGACGAAATGAATCAGTCTAGTGAAAGCCTTCGGGAAGCTGGTCAGCCAGCCAATGTGTCATCTCTAGATCGAAGTAACAATAAAATTGGGGACATGAAATGTTCGTACAGTGTACGAGGCCGAGAAGCTGCCCAGGTTATCAAAGAAATGGGAACATATGGTTTATTAGTGTTCGGAATTCGCGAGAGAAGATTGAATGAATGTGAACTACCCAAATTATCAACTGGAGACTCAGTAATTTACTTTGGTCTGGTAACCAAAATGACAACCACGAGCACAATGAGGCTGTGAGTGGCTTTTAAGATGTCACAAGTGACAGCCAAAGCCAATTTCATCCTGCAGGATTATGACAGCAAGATTCAAATCAAAAGGAACTTAGGAAGGTCATAATTACCAACGCTACGCGCAGTGATACGAACAACGCGGAACAGGAGTAAAGGAAGATTTTTATAGACAACATCCCACATGGTGATAACAAAATCATCATGGGCGACACGAATGCCAGCCAAACTGGGAGCGGATAGTACAGAAAGAGAACTGATAATGGTTGAAGAGTATCTGGCTCGGAGAAACGAATGAGAACGGAAAATTATTCTCAGACTTCTGAGCTTTCCATTATCTAGTGATCAGAGGCAGCGTGTATAAGAACAAGGACATACACAAAGCAACATGGATTTCGCTTTATGGACACACCACAAACCAGATAGATTTCATCTCAATGTCACTCAAGGAAGGGGAGACGCAGCCTGTTGGATACAAATTCAAGAAAGGAGTAGATGTGGGCTCACACCATCATCCAGTTCAAGGAACCTTCAAAGTGCAGCTGAAATCCACGAAAAAATATGGAGATAGGTCACTGTAATCCAAGTTCAACATCCGGAAACTGAAGGACAAAACTACAACGTATGCCTTCACTACAGATCAGGTCAGAGCGAAGTCGGACACAATACGTGTTATCGCCGAGGACACCAGCGTGGAAGAACATTGGAACTATCTGAAGGCGATATTCGAGGAAAAGTGTACAACTGTTCTGGGAAGAAAGAAGAGGCAAGACAAGGAATGGCTCTCAACGGATACCTACTTGAAAGCTATTAGAAGAGAGGAGGGGAGAATGGTAGAAGAGAGGTTGACTCATTGCTAAGAAGGACAACAGAAGGAAAAGCTCGGTTCAATGTGTAACCCAATGGATAAAGAGGCAAGAGTGCTACGGAAAACAAAAGATAATTGTACGACACACTGGGAAGTCTGATTAGTTTCACATTACTGTTGCATTCCCTTTGTCTGACTTTGTGATTACTATATCCTTGTTATTCTTTAGGTGCTTTTGGGCTTCCATTTATGGTTTTGTCAGGTTAGGCTTTCCACGTTTTTGTCATTTAAATGTTAGTGCACATTGTGCCCATACTCCGTCAGCCATTGTTCTGTCTATGTCACTTAGTACTGTTTCTATTTTAGGGATGACATTCTCAGGTTTCAGCATCTCTACATCTACACTGAAATTAAGTCCCTTTTCTAATACACTTATTTCTGAAGTACTTAATATATATGCTGAGAGACTAACAGCCCACTGTTTTTGTCGATCGCTGTTGACTTTATTTTGCTGATTTCATCGTTCCGAGATGAGAAACGTCACCCAGTAAATAATACTGTTTCACTGTGTGATACATCTGATAAACAAACGAATATGGAACTACTTACTACCACAGTGCCCAAGTTTTACACATATATCTGGATGATAAAATCAAAAAATTCTCATGGGACCTAATTACCAAGCAGGAGAAACAATAAACAATGGGCTGATCACTTCAAACGACTCTTGTGTCGACCGTCACCTGCAACTCCCTCCGAAATACCAACACCACCAAAACTACGCACACAACTGCCTGCCAGTGGACACCAATTCTACAGCAATAGCAGAAATCTTGAACGCGGTCAGGCTGCTAGAGTTCGGGAAGGCAGCAGGACCACATAGAATCTCTGCACCCTGAAGCACTGGAAGCAGGCCCAGAGACTGCAGCAGAAATATTAACGCCATTATTGCAAAGGGTTTGGAAGGAAAGGAAGATGCCTGCCAATGGGAAGCAAGGCTACCGTGTTAAGCTACCAAACATGGGCAACTTACGCCTCCACAAGAACTGGCGCGGAATTTTCGCTCTTCTTCACACCAAGTGATGTACTAAGTCGCATCATCCTGGAGAGAATAAGAGACGCATTACATGCTGGACTCATACAAGAACAAGCTGGGTTCGGGAATGACCAGTTATGTGATGATCAAATCGCTACTGTGCGCATCGTCATCAAACAGGCTGTGCATAGAATGGCAGTCAAACTTATATCTCATTTTCAATGATTTCGAAAACGCCTTCGATAGACAGCGCTGACGCGAAATAATTTGGAAACTCCTTCGATACTACAGCGTGCAGAGCCAAATCTATGTCAACCTCACTCAACAGCTGGTTATTTGGCAATGCCTGTCACGTGTCAGGTGATCCATAAGAGAAAACTCAGCGAGACGTTAGAAGTGCATGCAAGAATAGGACAAGCTAGCTGCCTGTTACCACTGATGATAACCCTAGCTGTGTTGGGGTGGATTATGTGTTAGGCTGTGAGAAAACAGGAATATGCTCGAGAGATAAGAAGAGCGTAGAAATATGGATTTCGCGCGTGATTTATGCCTAGCTCGAAGATTTGAAGGCAAAATCCAACTAACTGGCAAAAGAGGTAGACAGAAAAAACAAGACTCCAGGTGAACATAGAGAAGACGCAAGTGATGAAGATAACTAACCAACGGAAACAACAACCAACACCAGTCACCATCAACGGGAGAGATTTAACAGAGGTTACCTCCTTCAATAATCTAGGCAGCCAGCATCGTTTCAACCATAGGCCGGCGGAACAAATTAAGATGTCAAAGTCAGTCAGAATGGGAAAGGTAAGACAGGTCTTCATCAATCTGAAATCAATCAACTAATCAATCAATCTTCTGCACTGAGTATAAAGAAAAAATTCGAATTTTCAGTACAAATGTTAAGTCAGTTCTTCTAAGTGGGTCAGAAACTCGGTCTGTAGCGGTAAGCATTTCCAACAGATTGCAGACCTTTATCAACATCTGCCTTCGCTGCATAGTGAAGATCAAATAGCCAGCCGGGAGGAATTAACAACAAGAAGAAACTCTGGGAACGAACCAACTGGCGATAACCTATCGCTAAACAAATATGTAGGAGAAGATGGATCGGACACACGCTGAGGAGAATGTCGAATGACATTTGTGGAGTGCGTAACAATGTGATTGTACACTTTTTGGTTATTTGTAGAAATTAGACATATTGTACATAATTTTTGTTTAAAACGCTTCTTGTTGAAATACATTTGGCTTCCGTGTACGATTGGAAAATACACTCTGCTGTTGGAGACTTCGTCTTCTCCTTGGTTTCTTAGGCTTACTAACTCAGCTCTCACCGTGTTGTATCTTTCGGATTTATTGTAGGAGTCCACTACGCTCAACCGAAGACAATTCTACAACCGGGACACAGCAGCTACAACCTACTCCGTCCAAACAACTAACGTCTCCGTGGGTTATATAAATAATTTGTAGCAGAGGACTTAAACTTTATTTCCAAGTAACCCTTTTGTTGATATAACGTGTCGTTGCATTTTTGGTAATATACTGTTACTTAACATTCCACTGACTTGAATTTTATTTCTCATATTTTGTAATACTAGTGAACTCTAACGTATGTCCCCTACACATTTGGTGCTAGGCCAAAGTAGAACTGGATGAGTGGGTCGTCCTAGGGTGACATGGAGGAGATCGAGAGAAGGGGAGATGAGAGATTAAGGGCAACTGGGGGCCGAGCTAAAGAGGACAGCAGAAAATAGAACAAAGGCTAACCTTATGCGTTATCGTGTCCATGCATAAAGAGGCACCATAATCGTCTGTTTATGTGAAAATGGGAAGTATAGAACTATTTTTAGGCTCCTGTAGTCAAAGTTATTAATATTCCCTTGTAATTTGGTCGTTTTGTTGCCTAAGTGTTTTCATATCCCAGATGAATTGTATTAAGGGAAGATATTCACTCAAAGGAAGTAAGCATAAAAATGGCTGCCATTTTTGTTTGG